AGTTACAGTGGCTAGCGACCATGATCAGTAGCAGGGGGTGAATGTTCAACTTTTGGCCACTGTTGTCCATTTCTTCATGTGTTGCACTGTCTTTCTAGCACAAGAGCTATTGTATCGCAGCGGCTGGCACAACACGCAGAAAACTAGAAAGTCGGGGTTTCGAATTGCAGCGGCAGCACTCTTAGTTGTTGTCGCTTTTCCATTTTCCAGCACGCGAACATCAAATGGGCCGACCCCGGCGAGCCACCCCTGTGCGAAGTGTCAACTCTTTGACGCAAAGAGCGTCCCATAGGATCTCCCGTCCTAAGGGGCTGCTGCTCTGCGAGAAAACATGAAGGACTATAGTAAACTAGGCCTTTTCCCAGCCCATTTAGTAACAGACCGACAGTCCACAAGTAGTCAAGAGTTTCTCCATCGACAGAAGAAATAGACGCAGCGAGGGTAAGCCGATAGGTTGCTACGCGGGTTCTGCTCGACCACGGCGATACCTCGCTTCTAGCGAGACCGAGGAAAGCCTCACATCAAGCAGAGCGCGAGATGGGCCGGCCCAGGCGCACAGGTGACCACAACCTCGTTTATATTTCTTTTTAACTTAAATTTATACTTCCAAATATTATAAATAAATACAAAATAAATTTACATGAAACATTTAAAAAATGTTAACCAAGCATTTAAAAAATGTTAAATGTGTATAGAACAAATGTTTCTCATGCATCTTAAAAATAATCAATATGTGTGAAAAAAATTAAACATGTATTGAAGAAATGTTAATCCAAGAATTTGAATAACTATAAATAAGTATTGAATTTTTTTAATAAAGCATTTAAAAAACGTGGACAATGTATTAAAAAATTGTTAAACCTGTAATTGAAAAATGTTAAATACGTATAGAGTAAATGTTTCTCCTGCATACAAAAAATAATCTATGTGTGTGAAAAAGTTGAACCTGTATTTAAGAAATGTTAATCCAAGAATTTGAAAAAAAATGTTAATAGGTATTTCAAAAATGTTAGTCAAGCATTTAAAAAATATATACCATGTATCAAAAAATTGTTAATTGAAAAATGTTAACCAAGCATTTGAAAAATATTCAATGTGTATAGAAAAACTGTTGATGATGTATGAAAAAAATGCTATTCTTGTATTTGGAACATGTTAATCAAGAAATTGAAAAATGTTAAATATGTATAGAAAGTTGACCATGTATTCAAAAAATGTTGATTTTGTATTTGACAAGTGACAAGTTGTATTAAATGTATTAGCTATATACCAAACGATGTGTATGAAAAAATAGTGAAAAACGAGAAGAAACAAAGCAAACTGATGAAAACGAGAGAGAAACACACAAAACTGAAGAAACTAGAAAGGAAAGAAAAAAAAAGTGAAAACTGAGAAAGTAACAAAGGAAACCAAAAAAAAAGAAAATATAAAAAATGAAAAATAATGGAAAATAGAGAAAGAAACATAGGAAACAGGTGAAAAACAAAAACAAAAAAGGCATATCAACATAAATCTCAGAACAAAGTGGATACTAGGAATGAAGCCCTAACAAAACTAACTCGATTACATGATAAATCTCATCCAACCCATCACCGTCCAGCAAGCCTACGAAAAAATTACTCACTCCCGGTGATGATCATCATAAAATTGGTGATGAGGAAGAGTTGATGATGATGATGGCGATGAGTTCGCCTCTCCGGAGCGCCGAACGGACTTCAGATCCGGCCTCCCGATGAAGAACATGAGGTGGCGACAGCTTCGTATCGTAAAACACAATGAAACTTCCTCCTCATTTTTTTCTTCGAAAGTAGGATTTTATAGATTCGGAGTTAGGGTCAGGGAAGCCCCGAGAGGCCCACTACCCACAAGGGCGCGCAAGAGGGGGTGGTGCTCCCTGGTGCCTAGTGGGAATGAGGCCCTCCTCCAGTGGGTCTTTGCTCCAGTATTTTTTATTTATTCCAAAATAATTTTTCAAAAAATTTCATCCAATTTCGAGAACTTTTATTTCTGCACAAAAACAATACCATGATAGTTCTGCTGAAAACAGCGTCAGTCCGGGTTAGTTTCATTCAAATCATGCAAATTAGAGTCCAAAACAAAAGTAAAACTGTTTGGAAAAGTAGATACGATGGAGACGTATCAGTACTTCAGGGAGATTTTGGTTACTGGGTACAACCGTTGGGAGGCGTGCAACCGTTGAGAGATGGTAGCACGTGTTATCTTCATCTGATTTAAATGACGAACTAACAAAAAGCTAGGTGTTTAGTCATCGTAGCCTATTTTTCGCTCGCTGTGACATCTTTTTATCTTTACTTACATTGTGCTCCTTTTATGAGGCAGTACTAGACCTCAGACTCTGTTTGCGTACTTCTGATTAATAAATTGGCTGCTTGCATTAATAAGTTGAACTGTTGAAGTCTGGCCTGGCCTGCTACTGTTGGGGTCCCCCCACTCACGGGTCAGGGTTGGCGGCGCCTTGTCGGAGGACCGCCGCAGAGTCGCGCCTCTTGCACATCTCTCACCGGACGTCTCACAGCCCGCCCTTCCGATCAGAGCAATGCTACACGCACGGATATATTATTATGGGATCAACAGGGATGCTCAGGTGTGTTAGTTTGATTGGATAAAAATCAGCGTGTGTGGCCCACCCCCACAGAAAATCGGGGGGAGAAGGTTTTGTTATGGGCAGGTACATAAAAACACCCCGTATTAGCCCGTTGATGTAGAATTATTGCTCCGATCAGCTCCAGCCTTGTGGATGCCGTAGCACTTTGTTTTTGGTTTTTTCTTCATTTTTTGCTATTCATTTGAATATGGGGATTGCCCAATTGGATTCATACAACTCACCACCTTAATTTCCTAGTCTCACAAACATTTAGTAAGATGCTATGCTAGAGGATCACATTGGCTCCCCGTGTAATCCAACCTTTATTTATTCTGCCTGACAACGATTCGTTACCAGCTGCATATATAGTATAATAGTGTCAATAAACTTCTTACATTTTGAGACGGAGGAAGTAGCCTTTTGGAACCTGCCGCCAACAGTATTTGGCTGCATCGGGAGGCACAGCGGGCTTAGTGCTTCTTCACAATGAGCAGGGAATAGTCTAGTGTTTATAGTACTAGTTTATAGTCTTATAAACTAAATGTGCAGTTATCTCTGTGCCAAGCCGATTGCACCACAACGGCGGATGCAATGGATGAGTTCTCATGACATATCTCTGTGCCAAGCCGGTTGCACCATAACGGCGGATACACACGCTTGCAATAATGTCATTTGTAACCACAACACACTGTTCACACACGAACACGAACACGTCACCGTGTACCCTTGACGCCGGAAGTGATGCACCGCAGCTCACGTCGAAGGAGACCCGTCCAGAAGCGCGGTACGCAGGCAATCCGGCGGGTGCTTTTGAAAACCCGAAACCCCACACGCCCGGGAGGGACATCGTCAGGGCGCGCGGCAACTATGGGCTGTCCTAGGTCGACCTGATCGCCCCTAGGGCCTCGAGGTTCGTCGCCCTGCAATGAAGAAGAACGAACGAAGAACGAGGAAGAAGAAGAACTAGGGTTAAGGAGAAAAGATAAAAGATAAAAAGTGGTAGATGATTTGTTCGATTGTGTGTTGTTGTTCAATCGGCCGTCACCCCTTAAGTATATAAGAGGCGGTTGGACTTCCCGTGCAAGGAAAAGGCTTCAATTCACGTCCAAAACCCTAGTTCAATTCGGATTTGTTTGGTCCGAACTTTCCAAACTGTTAGGTAAAATCTGGCTGCACCTTGCGGGCCATGTTTGGGGCAGTAAACGATCTCGGACGGAAACGAGCCCAAAAGCAATTTTGACCGTTTCGACGAGGCGAACAACTTTCATGTTGAACTGTTTTTGATCTGAGGCCATCTTGAGGGGGGTTTCGGCTGTTTTCCGAAGTCTGCAGCAGCGAAATTCAAAACCCGGACGAACATACCCGGAGTGTCCGGCCATCCACAGAGAAAATCAAAACCCGGATGGTTTTCCCCAGAGTGTCCGGCCATCCAGTGTAGCAGTGTCTTGTACTAGCTGTTTCTTTTGCATACGACCTTGGATTAAGACGATTTATATATCGAAATCGACCGTTTCAACGAGACGAAGATAATTCGTGTTGATAATTTTTCCATATGAGGACATCTTAATTGGGTTCTCAGCCATTCTTTAATCTGGTGTCAACATGAGCATCTCTGAACTTGTCATAACTTTTGCATCCGAGCTTCATTTTAGACCATCTTCATATCCATCTTGATCTTCTCGAAAAGATCCATCCCATGGTGACCTCCAATCAAAAGTTTAAATTAATCTTGACATAGCTTAAAGAAACTTTTACCATTATACCACTTTTGAGAGTCAACACACACATGCAACATAAACCAAACATTGAAATATCCCCAACTTATTCATTAACATCGCACTATATTAACATATAAATATATGGTATACTGTTTTGTACAGCACAACCAAAGAGTTCAATGGAAAACATTGGTACGGTAGAAGCACACACACATGACTTCACCGTCAGAATATTCGAGTAACCCTCCAAAAGGAAAGAATATTCCCTTACTGGCGTAATTTTGAGAAAGCAAATGGGATAGTACAGCAAAAGGTGATGAGTTTTGTAGAGGAAGCAGACAACAACCCACCCGTACCTGGTCTGCATCATCTTCTTCTTTTGTCCTCGTATCATCAACTTACGAGTAGTAGAAAATCTGACAAATGGAACCATCCAACGCGACTTGCTTTCGCATGTGCTGCACAGTAGAATTGGATATATGATGTTACCACTTCTAGATTACAAATACAACCAGCATTTGAAACAATTGGCTAGACAATCATAAGCAAAAAGAATATTTTGCTTTTGCAATGTTCTCTTGTGCGCATAAAACTAGCCAGTAGTCAAGTAACTAAATTTAAGAAAGCAAGAGGTAGACAAAAGATCAAGGTCCATACTTTCAGCCCAGAGGAAGGAATCAAGGTGTTCCCTGCACCGGAGGCTTCAAGGATCCATGATCAGTGGCAACATATTTCGCCGGAGACCTAGTATCTGCTGGATCGACCCTTTTGAGCAACAGAACCTTTGGGCTCTTAGGGTGCTTCTTAGCTTCATTTTGCCATAGTCTTATCGTTTCTTGATTAACCTGTGAGTCCAGAGCGATTTCGCAAAGAGCATCTAAACATTCCACTTTGATGTGATCGCAAAGACCCACTAAACCCTTACAGAGCAACTGAACTGAAGTGAGTCTAGGCAAAGCTCCTTCTTGTATAGTGGGGAATCTGGGTTCTCGCACCATGAGGCATAGATGTTGCAGGCTTGGGAAATCCCCATGTTTTATGTCTAGATCCGCAAGGTGGACTTCCACCAGTTTGAGATAAACCAAGTGCCGTAGCTTACGCAGACCTAGGAGAAGATGAGGCCCTGTCAGATTAGTATATGCAAGGCACAGCTCTTTCAGACCACGAAGGGACATAACAAACTGAGGGAACTGATTCAGGCTGCCTTGCAGTTTCAGTGAGCTAAGATAACCTTTTCTTGATGCTGCCATTGTGTTGTCGCCTTGATGGTGATTCAGCAAATCTTTGGAGGAATCATTCAGGTGAAGTGATAAAGAACGTGCGCCTACTGGAGTACTCATGCCGTCCTGAGCAAACTTGTGAATGGCCTCTGAAAGTACGGCGTAACTGCAATCTGTGCTATTGGACTCGCACCATATCTTGACCTTTGTCAGTTTCTTCATATGAACCATCAGTTCTGGAAATCCAGAGTTGTTGTCTATAACAACTCCTGCTAGAGTCTGCAAATTACTTTTTCCTTGCAGGAATCTCTTATGGTTCTTGCCACTAATCCTTTTGAGCTTCATCTTACCATAAAGGTGTGCAAGGTGAGGCAGACTAATGACTTCCACAGGCAGTGTCTCTATCTTTGTCTTCCTTAAGTCAAGTGTCTCTAAGCAATGAAGCCTTTCCATTTGAACTGAAAGATTGCTGACAGAGCTCCCGAGTGTCAGATATTTGAGATGCAACAGTTTGTATATGTGCCCCAGATGTTCTTCATTCAAACCATTGCATTCTTTTAGATCCAACACTCTCAGCAGCTCAAAACTCGTCAAATCTGGAACGGCTTCTTCCGCACTCCCGAAGACTGTTAGAGATCGGGGGCGCAGCTGCTCACCAGCCGATCCTGAAAACAAGTTATCAACTTTTTCTTTCAAAGAAGAAAAGAATTTGTGCAGGGGGTCGCGGCCACGTCCGGCTGGACTGGTACCATGTCCCATGTTGCATGCTGTGCCATTTGTATGTTTCTCAATAATTAGGTGACGGAAATTACTTCGATTCCTAGCACTCAAAGAAGTAGCAATGAAATTCGAAGCCATGGACTTGTGCAGCATGAACTGGTGCATGATACCGTGAGGTTTGCACGTCTTGGCTTTCCCATTGTTGCTTGGATCAACAGGCAGAATGATATTTCTGTCAATTAGCTCATCTAATTTTTTATCGGCAATCTCTTGGTCACCATCTATGTATCCTTCGGCTAACCATCGCCCGGTAAGAGTTTTCCTGCTGACTGGGCGATCATTTGGGAATAGACTCGAGTATAATAAGCAGGTCTTGAGAGAATTGCCAGGCAAACTGCTGTAATTATTCATAAGAACTTGCCCCAGTTTTGTGAAGTGGCCATTCTTGTTCTCGTCCATACGAGAACATAGGTTATGGGTCATTTTTTCACATAGATCCCCTGTCAACTTGTGACCTTGCAAAGCTTTGGCAACACTAACAAGAGCAAGTGGGTGACCATCACATTTGTTCACGATTGCAGTTGAACCCCTCTCCAAGTCAGGTGAGCATCCATTGACGAAAACATTCTTGTCTAGATAATCCTTGGACTGTTCCGCACTAAGAGATCTTATACTGTACACATAACCATCAGGCAAGCTGCAGGCATTAGCTACTGAGGTCACAGTTGTGGTCACTAGGATTCTGCTCCCTTTTTCATCTGGGAAAATAGGTTTTATTACATCCCATAGCTCCATCTTGATGTTATCAATTACAATTAAACACCTGTTAGCCAAATTGACAAATGCAAAGTTAGTATGCTTGTCATTTGGAAGCAATTGGTTTGGTTGCTACCCCGCAAAAAAAATTTGGTTTTGTTGCTGACTAACAAGCAAGTTTCCCGTTATGGTCTAAAAAGTCTCCTGTTTTGATCTACCAAGCCAACTGCCCAACATGGTGCCCATGGGTGACTAGGCCTATTGAATTCTTGAGAGGATAATTATCTTTGTAGTACTTTATTACGCAAGTTCTCTACTGGAAATATGAACCAAAAAGTCGATTGGTTAATATGACTCATATTTGCAGGAAAATTCTAAATTATCTTACCTTTTTAGGCTGTACAGTTTAATAGTTGTACTACAACTGATGCGGAACTCTAAAAATGTTGAGAGTTCTCTATTTCTTGTAAATCCTTTGCAGGTTATTTTTGAATTAATTTACAGGGCAACACACTCACCATGATCAGCGGCTCAGAAAATCCATGAAGGGCAATAATCATACTCCCCATGATCAATGGGTTTAATTTTAAACTGGTATATATTTTTGCGGGGTAAAATGGAATTTCGTTACTTAAGATACTACCGGTGAAAAACTGATGATACAACTATATTAGTACACTTGCAAGACAACAGTTGTGCTCAATCAGGAGCAAGATACAACTGTAACCTATAGTTGATTAAATCTACTTCATTTAAAAAAAATATCTACTATGTTTTCTGGTGAACTGAGTAGGAACTACTTTTTTTTTCTGTTATGTACAACTAACTACTTTTATAATATTCAAAAGGTTCTTACATTTATAAGATTGGGCTAACGTGCCGAGTTTGATACAACACAATTTAACCATTACTCAAAAGCCTAAACTGATAGGAAAATATAAGCAACAACACGTACTGTTAATACTCGAATTACTCAGACAATAGTGTGAAGAGTAGGAGATGGGAGGGAAACTATAGCATAGATATAATTTGGAAGGATAGTAGCAATATTTCTGATTGGCACTGACCTCTTAGTCTGGAGAAGACGACTGATATGCTGCTGGAGTTGTCGGAGTTTCTGTGGCACGGACTCCTGTGCTTCTTCTCCGAGAAGCCCCTCAAGTATGGCCGTCAAGAGCGCCTCCTTGGCCGCGACCCCGTGTATTTGATTGGACGCCACAGTCACCCAGGCACGGCAACTGAATTGCTCGGCGACTTGAGGGCAGTTGTACACTTCCCATGCGAGTGCGGTTTTGCCCGAGCCCCCAAATCCGACGATGGAGACCACCTTCAGCTTCCTGCGGCTAGCTTGGCCACCATCAACTAAGGACTTGCAAAGCTCCCGCTTTGCTTCCTCGATGCCCACCGCAGGAGAAGCCCCGTACGCGCCCGGATTCTCTTGGTCAACGGGATTGTCGTCCAGGTCCGATTCGGCTGCGGCGGAGCAAAAGTCTGCATTGTATCTGATCTTTCGCTCATGCGCCGCATCCAGCTCCCGCTTGAGTCTCCCGATCTCATGGCAGAACTTTCTTGGATTGCGGATCTGGAGCTCTCCCTCGCACGCAGCGCAAGGAAGGAACCGGTCCAGGCAGTCCTCGATGTTATGTGCCAGGGCGCGGAATTCTTCCATGGATAAGATCTCTACCGCGCTGGGCTGCCCCTTGTGCGAGATCTGAACCTCCATGGACCCGCAGATCATGGCAAGCTCTCGATGCAGGAAGCTGATGTCGCCCTCGAGGTCCTTCAACTCCTTGTACCTCTTCTCAAGAACCGTGATCAGCTTCGATACCACGCTTTTTGTCACAGCGCTCACTACCGCCACCGCCACCTCCATACCTACGCTACGCTCGCCGGTGACCCGCTCGCTCCGCCAAATAACCTGTGGTGCGGTGACTTTAACTGCTTAATTTCTAGGAACAAGGCTTGCTCCTCTGTTCAACAGGTCGCTGTAGTGGCGCCACACTCACAGGCACACCATGTATAGACAACCGCTTTCCACGGTTCCACCCGCCCACGACGGCACCGCACGACCCGCCGACCCCCTTCCCCATCTCGAAGTATACTACTAGTATATTGCATGATGCCTTGGTTGTTGGTACCCGTAAACTATAGACCAACTTGCCAAACGAATATCTCCGCCGACTAATACTATATATTGCATGATGCC